CTCTCTCTCTCTCTCTCTTTGGTTGTCTGTTGTTATCACCCGTTATTTGCATCCCTTCGTTGACGCGGGGAAGGTGGAAATTCTAAAGGAGAAGGGGGGGAGGGGGTTTGGTGGTAGAAAGGAATTGGTAGGGTGCTGCGAAATTCTCCGGAGCTTACATCCCGGGAAATATTACTCCTCTGCTTCGAGTAAAGCGTATATATAGCTTGAGATCAGAAACGGTTCTTGTGAAATGCTTCTGAATTCCTGTATAAGTATAGAGTCTCGCAAACTTGCTCGTCTTCGTCTCCTCTGAATATGTCTTGTCAGGTGTCTTTTTCATTTCATTCGACATGTGTACTTTGGTTTTTGATTTATAAAATTAGCTGTATTTTTTTAAAAGTACATATTAAGTCGGACGATCCGTCTTGATTGTCAAATTGAAAATTTGGTTAAACCTCCCTCCGTCTTCTTAATTACCATCAGCCAATGGTAAACTCTATATACACTACTAGTATAACTATAATAACTATTATTCGATTATGTAAATTACAAATAATTTTTTCAAAATGAACTTGAGATTTACATTGTTGCCACATGGCAGGGAAATCAGGGAGTTCAGGGAAAAGTCAGGGATTTTTATTAAAAGTAGTGGAAAAAATTAAATGTTTAAAATTCATAAGAAAATTCTGAATTTTTGTGTCTTTTTTGTTTCTTTTATAAACTATATATGAAATTATACCACGAATTATAATACAAAACCTACAATTTTTTCTATTTCTGACAATAATTTATTTCAAATAACTGCATTCTATTTGAAGAACTGCCATAAAGCTATTACTTACATATATAAATTATTTAATCAAGTATTTTTTTGAAAAACTTTAATTACAATTCTGTTGAAATTAGTTTCAATTTTAAAAATTTCACGCAATTCATTGAAAGAATTCAACTTTCTTAATAAATATTAAAATTCTTTCCATAAATTCAATTATTTTCAAAATTTTTAAAGAAATTCTCGTCAACATTTTAATTATTTTATATTCTTATTATAAATAGCAAAATTCTTCGCCGAAATTCAATTATATTCAGGAATTTTTATTAAATTCATTATAAAATTTAATTATTTTTATAAATATATCAATATATATTCATCAAAAGAATTCAATTATTTTCAAAATTAATAAAATTCTTCCCAGAAATTCAATTATTTTCAGCGAATTTTCAAAAAATTCATTGCAAAATTCAATTATTTTCATAAATAATAGTATTCGTCACAAGAATTCAATTATTTTTTATAGTAATAAAATTCAATTATTTTTAAAAAATTGTTATTAAATCAATGATTTTCAATATTCTAATATTTTCATAAAGTTTCCCAAAAGAATTAAATTATTAAACAAAAATTTTGATAATATTTTATACACAAACATTAAATTATTTTCCAAACAAATAAACATTTCACAGGAATTCAATTAAAAATCAAATGTTTTTAAAATTCGTCATTAAATTCTTCTCAGTAATTTAATTATTTTCATAAAATGTATAAAATTCTTTTCAGGGATTTAATTATTTTTATAAATAAAATCATTCGGAGGAAGTCAATTATTTTCATAAATAACAATATTCATCACAAGAATTCAATTATTTTCAAAAATTTTAATAAAATTCATAGTAAAATTTAAATTATTTTCAGAAATTGTTCTTAATTCAATAATTTTTATATCTAATTAGTTTAATAAAATCATTCGAAGAGAATTCAATTATTTAGATACAAAATTGAATTTTTTTGAAATTACTTCAAGTTTTTATTTTCTATTCCTATATTTAATTGAGGAATTTCCGAATAATTGAAATTTCACGTGAAATTGAATTGAAAACAAATGGATTTAAAAATGCAAAAAGTATAAGATACCGTCTGACTAAAACTTGTTTTTACTATATTTAACTCAGAAAAATATGAAATTATGTCTGACTAAATCTTGTTTTTCTACTTATTTTGGAAAAATAGGAAATAAAGTCTGACTAAAATTTATTTTTACCACTTAATTTAGAAAAATATTAATAATAGTCTGTAACGTCTGACCGAAACATGTCTTTACTACTTATTTGAGAAAAATACGAAAAATAGAACATGACACGTCTGACTAAATCTTGTTTTTACTACTTAATTTAGAAAAATACGAAAGATAGGATATGACTTTTTTAAAAATTATAAAAAGTAATTGATTTAAAGAAGAATGTTTGTTAAATATTCTAGAAAATAATAATTGAATTAAAATGATGAAAATAATTTTGAAAGAGTTGCAGTAATAATATTAACTTAAAATAATGATTTTATCACTCGGTCATCTTTAATTATTATAAAACATGAAGAAATGGATTACTCCGAGTCATCCATTTCTTCATGTTTTACAATAATATTTTTATCAGTTATTGATAATAGAAAAACAATAATGATTAAATAATTATTTGAAATAGTTTTTCCTTCCATTATCTAATAATTTTTAGAGTGAATCAGAATATTCTTAGAGTCAAGTAAAAAGTGAAAATTTTGTCTGGAAATTAACGTCTAATAATCATCTACCATCTAATTATCAGACCGGTTATCATGAAATAAATAATAAATCAGAAATTGTATGATTTGACAAAAATCTGAAATTAAAAAACCACATGAATTTTGACAAATTTTAGATATATATATTTGACTACGAATATACCACAATACATTTATATAACAAGGAATCTCTTTTTCATAGATTTCCAAGTGGAAATCTCGAGAGACGAATGTGTTTGAAAGAGATGCAGAATAGGGAGAAAGGTATGGGGGGGTTGAAAACAATTTACTCGAAATTCGCGTCACCGCTTTGGACTGGATACCTACTGTGGTGGATATATACACTCTTATTTGTCCCCGCGGCAATCTGTCGGCTCTCAACACAAACTCTTCCTTTACATTTTGATCCTTCTTTTGCTTTTACTCGCCACTCTCGTTGCTTCTCATGACAATTCTCCCCAGTGAAACCCAGGGAAGAGAGAAGAGAATTTTAAATACCGAATCTAGATTTAACAGTGATATTTCTTATTTCCATTAATTTCAATTATCCACAATTCACGTGATTAAAAAGAGACGAATTTCTATTTTATTAATTTAACAAAATATATTTTATATTTATATATCCGTCTTTTTGGTTTTCCGTCAAGTTAAAATTTATTGTTGAAGGTTTGACTTAAAAAAACGTTGATGGGCATGATAGAGATCATACAATTCTTGTCCAAACCGCACAAGAGCAATTGCAATTTCCTTTATTAGAGAATGTAATTATTTAATATTTATTAATTACAAAACTCTAGAAAAATGTAAATTAACGTGATGTTATTCTCTATTTGAAATCAGTGGTTCATATGGTATATGAAATATTTTTTTGAAATTTTAGTATATGCTGATACACTTTGTCCCTTTTAGTCGACCAATTAACATCATTTTGGCTGTTGAAAGTGGTCATTTAAAAGCTTTTCGTGTAGGAGAAGTTGTTAACGAGAAAAGAGGGGTAGATCAAAGGGGATGAGAATACTCGTGAGTCAGGATGGAAAGGGTGTCGCTAATACACTCGCTCAACGCTCACAGATTGCGCCGCACTGCTCCCTAATCTGTATCAAAGTTCACGATAGAGCGCAAAACTTGTCATTTAGTATTAACAGATTTATCCCTAATTCTGATTAACAACCATTTTAGTACTATTATCTGCATTTATCAACATGCTTTTTATGATTCATTTTGGCTTTCTCTTTTTGTATATTGTTTCTAGCTTAGAATTATGTACATTATTTCTAATGCTGATTCTGAGTCCATGACTGTCTCTGACACTTTTCGCGCCAAGACATCGGCTCTTTCATTTCCCTCTTAACCGAGTGTTCCGTACCCGGATTAATTAAAATTTATGTAATGAACCCAACACGTCTGGAATTCAACGGCATTTGCAGATCAGTTTTAATGCGGTCGTCGGATTTTTCACTGTTAGGGAAAGTACCATCCGTATCCTGAAAAGATACCAACCGCGCATATCTACCACCGCCTAATTCTTCCTCTAATTTTCCCTATTACAGCTTGTAGGATTTCTGAAGATAAGTCTAGATAAGTCTAGGAACTTTAGGTATAGATAATCTCGTCTATTACCTGTAAATATAAACAAAAAAAAAAATAGGATCCCTCCCTAGAAACAATTTATTTCCAAATCCTCAAAAAATTGTAAATAAATGACAAATATATCTCTCCTCGGAAGGCGGATAGTCTGTAATAATCTGTCGCGATATATTGACAACCGTTCCGCCACCCCCTCAGAAACTTCCAACACGTGCCGTGTAAACCACATTTACACTTACGCATGTCCCGTTTACATTTCAACCATCAATCTCGCACACCAAATGTATCCACGGAAACAAATAAAAATCTTTCTCTAAAATTCAGTGCAGAGAAACAACATGCACACAGATTCATGAAATGGAACATTTTTTAAAGTCCATATGCAGTATAAGCCTCTTGGCGAAAATGCATCTGACTCAAATAATCACAGTTCTTATACATTCACACAGAAAATATATCTTTATTCCTATATTTGGGGTAGACATCAACATAGACATAAACTCGGCACCAATACAGAGCGATACTTTTCCTATATATCTGTTTTCAACTTTTTTTTTTTCCTCCTCTTTTTTTTTTATTCCCCGTGCACTCCCGCTGAGCCTCTTTCGAGCGGCCCTATACCAGCTCGCGATACTCTACCCCTTCACTCTTTTAGTACAACCCTTGTTCTCTCTCATTCCCACAATCTGTCTCCTTTCCTCTCTGTCCTCGCCTCGAAATGTGGCATTCAACAGGGCTATTCCGTGGTGGGGGAGGATGGGGAAATGATGCGCAGATTGGCCGGATCATCTCAAAAACCACCACCCTCCCCAACCTATCACTTTCTCCCCCGCAGCCTCATCGCTTGGGAATTTCTCTCTTGAACCAATGCGAATGAAATGAATTGCCCTCTCTGTTGCACCCTTTCTAGGACTGTATGTACAGCAAACCCTGCGAGTCGCGAGAGGGTGGAATACAACCCTGCCACACTGGCATCCACTGGCATCGCCGCAGCCACCGAGAGTGACTGGAGTTCTCCGATTATTATCTCATTTGCCGGCACGGGCTACACGCGCCCTTACGCCGTAGGCTCAAATCTCGTTTCTACTTTTTTTTGTGTTAAGTTACTGCGAAATAGCGAATATCTGACATCCATCACACTCAAGGTAAGTCAAGTATATTAAATATTTTCTTTCATTTTTGCAATCAAAATGTTTTTACTCCCGAAGCTAGTGACACTGTCGCCACTTGCTCCGGAGTGATAAATCCAGAAGTAAACAGTGAGATCCTAACGTAAGAATTCGTGACAGTGTATTTTAATTAACTATTTACAGTGAATTCTTAAAATAGTTTCCTGTGGAATCGATGGGAGTGAAATTTCACTCTCTAATGAGTAAAAATTCTGATTGTAAATTCTGATTGTAAGTCTACCAACAAAAAGAGATTATATCGAAAATATGGATGAAGTAATTTTATATGCTAGCTGTTGGTTCAAAGAGGAAATTTTCTCTTCATTAATCGTAGTCTTCACTCCTGGAGTGGAATTCTACTCCAGGATGAGTAAAAGTTGTTCACGGTATGGTTATTAATCTTTAATCTATTCTAGAAACATGAAAATTTTCAAACCGTTTACTTTGTGATGAACTAAATAAATAGAAGTTGGGTGGAAGTATACACCATTGGAGTGAATTTTACACTTCCCTGGAGTACTTTTCCACTAGTGGAGTTAGAGTAGAATTCAATTCTTAAGTGTGTAAATATCACTCCTAACGAGACGAGAACCCTGTAGTCAAAAGTCAATCCATAGATTGACCACTCCACCGGGTGTGAATTTTCACCTTTTGCTATCGCGAGAAATGCTACTCGTTCCAGTATAACCCTGTTTGTCATTATTTCCAAAAACTTTATTTAAAAAATAATTCAATAATACAGTCCAAACTGTATATAGCTCCTTTTTTTATAGCTCCTTTTTATCATAGACTGCGTTTGCGTATTAAAACTTTACCGCAGTTTTCAAAATACAAAAAAAAATAAACTAAAATAATTCACTACTTGAAAGAATTTTTTTTTCACAATATCAGGTTTGTCTCAACGAATATTCCGCGACCCAAAGACTCTCACGTTTTTTTTTTTTTTTTTCATGCAAAGAGGTCGTTTTTATGAAAGAACTCCAGAGTCATAAAAACGTTTCTCCGGCCAGTAAAAAGCGCAGTAACTTCCGACAAAAACTGTAAATGTGAAAGACGCTCGCTTTTCCAGCACTGTTGACACACCTATCATTTTACAAAAAAAAAAAAAGTAAATAAAAAAAAAAGGAGGAGAAAAAATATATTCACCAACGCGCGCAATATTCCCAGTTTACAGACTATATAATAAATTTCAATCAAGTTGAAATTTTCATTTTTTATACACATGAAAAATTGGTACATTTAAAAAAAATAAAATTTATAAATAAAATATATAAATGTTTTTCAAATTTCGAACAAATATATACCTAAATTTAGGTTTATAATTTTAATTGAATTTTAATTGCGAAGAATTTAATGCAGACGGGGAAAATGGTGAGTGCAACTTTTCTCGTTGCTTTTATTAATATATCTATGGGGGGGTGGGGGGATTTTATTTGCTTCACTATCGCGAGAGAATGCAAATGTCCGTGCGGCGACAGAAATTGAAACAATCCGCCAATTAGAATCGTCGGCATGACAGGATTATGCAAATTTTCATGCGAATAGGCGGACAGACTGGCAGCTGGCGCTCGCTTAATTCAATCCCCGAGTTGTCTTATGAATCGTAAACCGCACTGTTGAAACTGAAACTGCACCGTCACTGTGCTACCTGTCGTTTACACATATACATCAACATCACTAGTCATCAGTTTGCTTTTCATTGATTTATAAAGAATAATATACCACCGGCGATTCGGGTTTCTAGATTCATCTTTGCATGTACATCAAACAAAATTTTTTAGGTAAACCTAGACCTATACCCGATTTCCAGGGTAGTAGACCTAAAAGTAGGGGTTTTTAAGGGAAGAAATAACTTAGATCTTCGGGCTCTTTGGGGTATTTGAACAGTTCGTTAAAATTCTTTTCATTAAAAATGGTAAAATTGATGACGTTAGTTTTCTGCTGCGATGAAATGTCCGACGCGGAAAGAAATTATTAATAAATGATGATAATAGCTCAGAAATTCGACTAATAGAAAGCTTTTAACTGGTCTCCTAGTTTGTGAAATGGTCGTCACTTTTTCTCCATGTTCCGTTTGGAGCATTGATTGACCATTTGGTCCGTTGATCTTCTGATGCTGTCTAATCGGAGAAGTGTCTACTTGTATGTTTGTAACAGTCTAATAGTCCATTTGCACTTAAGTGCGGTTAATGAAATGAATTAGGAACAAATTTTTGTATTTATGATGACAATAAATCAGAAATTAGGAAGCTTTTAATTATTCTCTTTTTTTTTTTTTTGTAAAATTGTGGTCAGTTTTATGTATTTTGTCCCTTAGACTAAAAGTTTGAACTGAAAGGAGCTTATAGGTTCATCGCTAATAATTCATTAAGACAACAGGAGGATTGAACCACAATCTATCAGTTTGCATTTAAAGTAGTGATTTTCAAAAATACAAAAAAGAAATAAATTTCCATTAGAGTAAAATCATTAAAATTCCCCAGAATGTTAATTAATGATGGACACAATTAATTATGGAACTGGGTGAAAATGATAAAATTTACAGCAGAGAGGACAATTTAGAGTAGAATTAAATTTGAAAATTTTTGACTTGAGTGGAATCAATATTAATAAAGTGACAATCTGATTATTTGAAGTGAGAAGAAGATCGATATTACGTCTCTCTCTCTCTCTCTCTTATTAACAAGGGTAGAACATGCTCATATTTATCGCCAGGAGTAAAACTGACAGCAGTCCATTTCCGGTGCGTCCTGCCTGTCTGGCTGAACATAATATCTGACGAAACAACGTGGACATCGTTTGTTTGGGAAACAATGGACCGAAACAATGCCCATTCCTCTTCTTGTGTATGTTGACACCGATACAGTATTTGCCACATTCAACATACATCCCTCTTTTCAATGGTTATATCTATGTATAGTTGTTCGCCTTCTCCAAGAAATCCTCTTGTGAAACCACTGAGGCGCTTCGTATTCGTCACGTAGAAAAATTCCAAATTTTAACTCCTGTCAGGGCTTTTTTTTTATTCTTTTCAAAAAGAGAGATCTTTTTTTTTATAACAAGGGGCAAAATTATTTCATTTCATTTAATATGCGCCAAATACCAAAAAAAGAGATATTTTTGAATATTAAAAATTGGAAATATCTTTTGGTTAATTAAAGATTTTTATATGCATGGATTTTTTAAATTTTAATGAAAAATTGATTTCAACGAGCAATCTAAATGTACATGTATATCTATATCAATGGTTGCAATTCGCCTGCCTTTCAGATGTAAATTAATCCTATTGATGTTGAATCACTGGCATTGGGGAGAGAGGATTACTTTGTAAAACGATTACAGCAATGTAACCAGAAATATTTATATCGAAACATATCCAATTTCACATTTCAGGGTTAAACACGAATAGCAATTTTTTTCCCGCATCAATAGATTTTTAATTAGAGAAAATTATTTTTATCCTCTCGTATAAGATTATTTTCATCAGCAAAAAATGTACCCTATTGGGGTAACAAAAAAAATCCGCTATACCTTCTGAATTTTCTCCAAATTGTTCCACTTTTGCATTTTTTGGAATATTCGACTTCAAAAAAAGTCAAAAGTCGATACTCAAGTTTTGTAATTAATGTAATAACTTTGTAATTACGTCTGTCGTGCGAAAAATTTGGCACAGAACACGTTGAAGATCTATAGGCTTCAACCGGATTTTAGAGGGAGTCTTCTCAATTAATTTCCTAAAACAATAGAGTCCTTAATTCAGTCCAAGTTCTTCGTCTTGTAAACCGTCTTCACCAGAATGTCTCCTGGAATATTATATCATTTACTGAACAGGAATTTTTAATTCATCGTCTTTCATTACTTCCACCCTTCTTGCAATTAAAAAAAGCACTTTAATTATCTTGAACACTATTAGGCATTTTGCGACGCGACGTCAGAGGCTAGGGACAACAAACGAAACTTTCTTTTGCAAGAGAACCATGTTTTTTCTCTCTTATAACACCCGGAATACAATAAAAATAGCTTTCTTTCTTTTTAGAATGAGTTCCACAAAGCTAAAAACCACTCCCTTGAAAATCTTTAGATATGTGTTTTTGGACTTCTTTCTATCGTTCATGAATGGTATTGAAACATTATTCAAAATTCAACATTATGTCACCAGTTCTAGAAACAAATGTCTAATTAGTGTTATTAAAACTAGAATTCCAATATGATGCAAAGAACCCAAATTTTGATTTAATGCAATTTTGTTACAGTATGACAACGACGACAGGCGATCCGTCGACACTAAAAACTCCAGCGTCGCTTTCCGGCGGCGATTTGGTTAACCGACTTCTAGCAGCGACACCACCTTATCTCTACAATGTTCCATTGACGCCCAACAGTTTTTTCTTCAGTGAAATGCTACGATCTTTCGTTCAAGCCAAAGCCGATACATCACCAATTGAACCGATTCCGAGTACTCCCAGACGAAGAAAAAGATCATGGAAGGATACACGAGATCGTCCACTGGAATTAACTACCAAAGAACGACATCATCACCATCATCATCATCAAGGTCCATTGAGTCATCAGCAACAGGGAGAAAAGTATTTCCACTCTACCCAACATTATGAGCAGCAACAACAACAACAACAACATCATCATCATCCACAACAACAACAGCAGCAGCAGCAACCGCAAATTCTAGATTCAATTCATTTGGAAAATCAAAATAAATCCCTCGAAGCGTACGATATCGAAAGTAAAAATCTCAATTTAGAACAAAAATCACAGGACTTTAGCATTGAAATTTTAAAGTCAGTCGATGAAAATCGTTCTAAATTCAAGCCATCGAAGAATTACTTTGCCGATCGTATTCCCAATTTACAGGAAAATATTCAGTCAATATTTTTGAATGAAACACAAAAAGTAAAACCCGAGGATTCGGAGAGGAATTGCACTTTCAGTGAGAAGGACAATTTAGAGGAACGTTGCCAAAAGACAAGTAGCGAATTATCATTTCTCGCTGAGCAAAAAAGTAAACTTGATTTTAATGCGAGAAACTTTTTGCCCACATTGCCGGGGCGAGGCGACGAACTGCAGCAATCAACAGCCAAAGGTTTCAGTCTGCCCACAGGCAATGTTCCAAATCCTGAATTCTTGCCCAATCCACTATGGTATCCGCCTTATCCAATGCCACAATCATATCCCGGTATTGATCCGCTGCATTTTTTTATTGATCTCCGCGTGTCGGGACACATATGGGACAGAAAGTTGAATGAGAGGCACTTGCCGTTCAAGAGCAAGCACAGCTCGGCTTTTAGTGTGCCCCAAGCCAAGGAGTACAATCGACCATTGAATTTGACGAGAGACGAGGCTTCATCAACGTCGAGATCATGTGAGGCGAATCATCAAGGGACGCATTATATTTTGAAACATATCACTAAAACCTACAAAGATATAAAGGAGGCTGAAAAGGATTCCAGGACCGAGATCACTGAGGTGACAATCGAAGAGGATTCTCCGAATTCTGAAGGTTGTATTTCATAATTTTTTTTATAGTTATATTCCGTCCAAGTTAGAAATATAGAGTCGTAGAATTTACCAAAAATATTTATAAGTAAAATTTTTTACTTATGTTTATGTAACATCAAATGGATAATTTAATTAAATTTGTTCCATAATTTGAAACCTCTGACTTAAGACTATAGTCTACAACAATTTTAGCAAATTTTTTATCTACTTGACATGGTTTCCTTCATCAATAAATTAACAGACACAAAATCTTTCCCTAAGAATAATATTCTTCTTATACAAAAATAGGTCTCGGATTTTAGTCAGTTTTTGTTTTCAAGAATCCGGGGTCTTGAGAAAAATAATAATAATCTTCAACTGTCAAATTTAAATAAAAATTGACATAAAGTTGTCTCTCTTCAGACAACGAAATTGCTTGCTTCCTTTTTTCAAAATTAATAACAAGAATTTCTCCCTTTACCCTATTTGCATATCTACTCTTTTCATATAACGATTTTCATTCGAAAAAGTCAAAACTTGAGCTAGTAATGACAAATGAATAGTAAACTCAGGGTTGCCACGCTTTTTCTCATTTTTAAATTCCCTGACTTTTCTAGATTTTCCAGTTTAAAAAATGAAATTTTTCCAGGTTTTTAAAACTACATTTGTTGCCAACAAACATTTAATTTCCTTTTTTCCTGACAAAATTAAATTCCAGACAAAATTCTTACTTCTTGACTCTAAAGAATATTCTCAATCAGTTTCAAAATTATTACTCAGAAATATGTTCTACTGCTTTTTTTTGAAGAAATATTTAATTATTATTTTTCCGTAGGAATTAAAATTTTTCAAAACATTCAAATTGAAACCTTTTTGAAATTAAACAATTTTCAAAAAATTGTCATAAAACATGTTTTATAATAATAATTAAAGATGACCGACTGATAAAATCATTATTTTATATTTTATAAGAAAATTCTTACTGTAACTTCATCAAAATTATTCTCATTTCAATTCAATTATTGTTTTCCGGAATTTTTAACTAAAATTCTTCTTTAAATTAATTATTTTTAATAATTTTAATCCTTTTCTTTACAATTCAATTTTACGAAATTTCATCGATTATTCGGAAATTCTTCAATTAAATATGTATTAGAAAATAAAAATTTGAATTAATTTCAAAAAAGTTCCAAGAAACTTTAAAAAAATTAAATCTACACAATTTTCAGTTAAAAGTATGAAAAATTCAAAGTTTCAAAGATTATAATTTGAAACCTTTTCAAAATTCAATTATTTCTAAAAATTCACGCTATAATACTTTCTCTCTAAATTTGAATTAGTAAAAATGTTTACTATTTTCGAATTAGTGACTGACTTTTTGCTTTTGAATTTATCAACAAATTTTTAAATAATTAAAATTCTTTTGACGAATTTTAATAAAAATTTTTCAGAATAATTTCCATTTTCGAGAAATTAGATTAAAAATTGCATTAAAAATAATTGAATCTCTGTAAAAAAAAATTTGATTGAATTGAGAAAAGTTTTTGAAAATAATTGAAATTTTGCCAAGAATTTTATTAAATTTTTTGAAAATAATTAAATTTTGAAGAATAATTTTATTATTTATTTATAAAGATAATTGAAATTTTGACGAGACTTTTTTTTAAACTTTTGACCATAATTGAATTTCTGTGAAAAATTTTATAACTTTTTGAAAATAATTGAATTCTTGAGACGAATTTGAATGATATATTGCTTTTTAAATAATTGAATTCTTTAATAAAATTTTACTGAAATACGTATAGATATTAAAAATAATTGAAATTAATTTAATTCTAGGAAGAATTTTATTAAAATTATTTTGAAAAGAATTGAATTGTTAAAAAGAATTTCATTAAAATTTTTGAAAGTAATTGAATTTTGAAGAATAATTTTATTATTTATGAAGATAATTGAAATTTTGACGAGAATTTTTTTTTAAACTTTTGACCATAATTGAATTTTTGTGAAGAATTGAAAAAGATGAAAAAAATGAAAAAAATGAAAATAATTGAATTCTTTTATGAAATTTTATTGAAATACGTAGATATTAAAAATAATTGAATTTTGATAAATTATTGAAATTAATTTAATTCTACGAGGAATTGTATTAAAATTATTTTGAAAAAAAAATTGAATTGTTAAAAAGAATTTTATTAAAATTTTTGAAAATAATACATAAATTATAGGAAGGCTTTTTAAAATAATTGAATTTTTTTTTTTGATGAATTATAATAAAATTTTTAAGAATAATTACATTTTTCAAGAAATTCCATTAAAATTGTATTCAAAATAATTGAAATTCTGCGATGATTTTTATTATTTATGAAAGTAATTGAAAATAATTGAATTGCTGGTAAAAAATATTATTCTTCATGAAAATAATTGAATTATTGCGAAGAAATTTATAAAAAAAAATGTGTAAATAATGGAATTGCTGTGAAATTTTTATTATTTAATTAATTAATTGAAAATTGAAATTTTCTAAAATTTCAAATTAAAACCTTTTGAAGTTTTTCTATTTATGAAAATTGTAAACGCAACTCTATTAAAATTGAATTAATTTTGAAATATTTAAGTAAAATTAGATTTCAAGAATAAGCACATTAACTTTAGAAAACAATAATTTTCCAGGATTCCAATAAAAATTCCCTGACTTTTCCAGGTTTTTTCAAGTTTTATAAAATTCCTTCGCATTTCCAGGTTTTCCAGGTTTCCAGGTTGCGTGGCAACCCTGAAACTTACGTTGCAAGATAATCTTCTGATGTTACACAAACATTACCTAACGAAAATAATCCTTGTTTTGACAATTTTAATAAAATAAATTAACCCTCCGTCCGACACTTGTTCCGATGTCCAATAGATACTATAAATTTCTGATTCATAAAATATTCTAGGGAAAGACTTTTTAGATTGATTGTTCTTTTCGTAAATCGTTAGCACAAGTTTCTAGTGAATCTACAAACAGTTTTAAATAAAGTAGGCATCTGGCCAGACCCGCATGTGTCGGACAGAGGTTTAAAGAAACAAAAAAAAGTAATTTCAAAAACATTTTTCTTGACAATGGTTTCCAGAATTGGAATCATCAAAAAAAGAAGAAACTAGTAATTCGACTTCAAATCAGGACGAGGAAAAAAAAGATCTCCGTGCCCTCATTGGTCTCGAACTTGTCGTCGATTACGTGAAAGAGCCAAAAGGTGAATCCAGTAGTTCCGAATGTTCTCCACAAATAACTGAGTAATTTCTTGTCGAAAATATAATGTGGAGCGCAAAAAAGAAAAAAATGAGTCGAAGCAATGGGAGTATTAAAAAAAAAAACTCTGTGACGGTATCAAAAATCGTGAAAAGCGTTTGTAATCTGTATATATAGATATATAGGTACCCTAGAATCAATATCTTCCGTAAAATTACATACGTGTTGCACTATCAAAGCGTCGCATCGCGTCGGCATCTTTTGTCTCTGTGCATTTTTTCCCCGCATTTGAAAAAGTCTCTTTTTCATCTCGGTTCGATGCAACTGTAACGCTACCTTTGATCCAAGTTTTTTTTTACAAGTGGAATTTTTTTCTATACTCCAAAAAAAAAGTGAAATATTTTACTTGCAAATCCAAAAAAGAATCCTTTTACATATAGTGAGGGAAATTTAATGAACGACGAACTCTTTTTTTCATTCCAGATTATGAAATAATTATATTTAGTAATGACATTATTTAATTTTATATATTCATTCCCTTTTATTTCTTCTCCTCTTGGCAAAAAACCATGTTAATTCCGAGAACGTTCTAAAAAACATTTTAAGGACATGAATGTTTAAATAATGTTCTAGAACATTATTTGACGGGCATTTGGCGTTCCAAAAACATTTGAAGAATGTTTTTGGCGAATATGATTTTTTGCTCAAATGATTAGGATGAAATGAAAAATTTGTTTGTTAAAATTGATTTTCTTATATCTCTCTCTCTAATTATTTAAACTTATGCGGTTCAACAGGAAGTGTTTTAATATTTTTAGGGCCTCTCTTATTACAAAAATTCTACATGTATAGTAAATCTATATATTTATTTGTAATATGTATATCAGTGTAAATATAATTTGAGATATCTATTATAATTGTATGATGTAAATTATAATTATGAGATATATATTATAATTATATAGTGTACATTGTATTAAACCCCCAAAGCAATGTTGTCAATATTGCTACAGGTGTATATGGGGGTATTCACAATTATATAATTAAAATATATATAATTTTGTATGTATATTCAAAATTTTATTTGGTCGGATTGTAAATTATTTACATGTATAATAAAGTCACCTACTGTTCAATTGTATAGAATAATAACGTTTAGAGTCCTTTTTTCTTGTAGCAATTATTTCAACATTGTCAACACTGAGGTATTGATATATTCCCCCCTTATAGAAGGTTCCTTTCAATTCGGGCCCATTCTCCCCTCCCCTTTGTTTTTCGTCTCATTTAAATAGAACTCACATTTCTTTTAAATTAATTGAAACTATCGGTTTTTGGAATTTAAAGAAAATTAAGTAGTTTTTAAATACATACGTCAAAAAATGTCAGAGAATTTAGAGTAAGAAAAAAAGTAAAAGGCTCTGAACGGCGGCAGATTTTCAGAAATAAATCAAAGCATATACGTGAGTCAATGTTGTAGAAAGACGATTAATATGTTGAAACGATGGTATACAGAGTGAGAGTCACGAATCGATTTGCGAACTACTGAAAAGAGATATGTTTAACGAGGGCCATTGTCTATGATTGTCGTAGGGTTGGTAAGCCGCAAGGCCGGATACAGCGGACCTTATACTGACCCCTTTTTAAATGGGGTAACTATTAACTGTAACTCCTCCCTAAAACGAATATTGCAATTCCGGTTGTCTATAAATCGACTTGACTCAATAGAAGTTTTCAATAAAATCGGTTACGAACAGCACGAAGAAAATTAATTGAGAAAAGAGTCGTAGGAATTAAAAGGTACAATAAAATGTTGGAATCATTGGTGTATGGCAGACTCTTTCATAAATTGAGAGGTACACTAGTGACGCAAATGTCAAAAAAGTTGGTGTGCAATCTAAAATCCAAGTGTAAATGTCATGTTTCGTGCCCTTCTGTAAAATTTACACTCACTTCACCCTCGTCTTTAATTTTTTACTCCAAGTTCCGTTTCTTATTTTGCAATTAACCCCCATTTGTATGATGCTATTTCTATCTTTAATATCTTTAATATCTTCATAAGACGTTTTGTTATAAAAAATTTTACGTAAAAATAAAATTTGCTTATACAGTATCTAAACCTACAGTATAGCAAGATTGACAGCATTGCTGCAAGTTTAGATGCTGTGGGTTTGAGAAAAAATTACAATACCGACGGGGAGTTTAGTGATGGAAAGTTATATTTTTTACTCTTGAGGAAAAATTACAACGTACGATACTTTATTATTTCTAATTTTTGTTGGTATAAAGAAAGTTATGCTTATTAACGAAACAATGGGACAATATAGTGAAGGAAGAAGCAGGGAAAATAAAAGAAGGTTAGTGTCTTGAAATATTATATATATCAATATTGGAAGGGGCGATGGGAAATAAAACGAAGCTATTAGGATAGACTGTTTTTGAGTTGATGAATGTATATATATACATATATATTATATTAGACGCCGTCGTTGTTGGCAGTAACACGAAGCTCCAGAAGCACTTCTCCCTTATGGCCATTGTTGAGTTTGACGAGCTTCCGATTCCTTTCAGGAACGAGGAACATTTCACCCCATCCCGACGATTTTCTTGTTGGTGGTACTTCGGATATTCTATAGTAAGCACTGGGCCTTTCAATGTCCTTATTGTAGTCAACAAACTGCCTTAATTCAGGAATGCCGTAAGCGTAAACCTATTTTATTTTACAATCAACTTTAGTAACGTGTTTATATATTTTCAGTGGCGGTTATGGAATTTAATTTCATTTTGATATCGTGAATTCATATTTTCTACTTAATTTCTTTCAATCAACTTCTTCTAAAGATTTTGAAAATTCTAAAGTTTTGCGCCTAAAGATTGAGTTGCGTTCCCGGCACCATAAATGAATATGAATTTTTTAAAATTAATTATTAAAGTGAAAAATGATAGCAAAAGAGGGGAAAAGTTGAGGGTCAATCTGCCATCGTGCAGCGTCCTTAACGGATAGTATAGAATTATTTATAGTTTATATGTAATAAATCTCTACCTTTTTAACAACTGGTCGTGAATTTTCCAAACCATCAGCAAAATCCCCAGCCGAAAAACTCAAATCCAAATCGCGTGACGATTGTTCAACATTTTCCCCGTAGGGATTGATGGGTTCATTTACAGGAATACTATTCGAATTGTCGACATAATAGACTCTGCCAATAGCGGAGCTAATCACGAGGACAAGAACGAAAATGTAAACGAATCGATGTTGCATGTTGTATGTTTTACACTGAAACTAAATTCACATCAGAGTCAGAAAAAAAAACACTTGCTCGATGTTTAGGTAATAGCATATTCACTTAAATTCTCATTCAAAATCCCCTGGTAAGAAGATTATCCAAACACATATTTTTAGCATGTTCGTGGTTATTAAATTGGAAAATGACGCAAGTTTCATTCGCAAAAAGAAGATTACGCGCAGATGTTAATTTAAATTTTAAATCACTTTTTATTTAAATTTATATTGTTTCAGTAATGTCATATGGATTTGTAAATTGCAAAATGAATTTAAATTTGAATAACAAATTTTATTAATTCGACCGATGGGTTTATTGCTATTTGAGCGATTTATTTTGTTGGGAATGCAAAAAGCAAAAGTTGATGTGTAAAATACTTTTTGTTTTTGAAAAAAGGTATGACTTTATATTAATCACTCAGGTCAGGCGCTTGACGATCCAGATCCAGGTTGAATAATATCGGTGGAAGAAATTCTGGGCTACCAGTGAAAAACGGGCCTCTGAAGACACTCCAAATCGTGGACCTTTTTGGTGACCTCTACGATTTTAATCTAAAATTCTCTCTTTCTTGATAATTAAGAGGCTAGATGTCGCAATCTCCTGAAGATATTCCACCTCCTACTTTCATCTTCAGAAGCGAACAGAAGAATGCAATCTAATTAAATTCTCCAAGGGGGTTGTCTTTCACTTATGTAAAAGAATCTCGGGGAAATATTAAAAACGCGGCGTTTTTTCCGGAGGATCATTTGCACTGGTTGTATGCGAGAGGGTGCAGTGCGGCAAGTTCTGAATTATGCATGAAATTTGTTCCCGGGAATCAAATCGCTCTACTCCTCGTCACCGACGGCGCACGAGAACAAGAGAGTGAGCATAAATCTAAATAATTTTAGCTCTTCGAATTTTTATTATTCCTCTATATATGTGACTAAAGGCAAACTGTCATGAATATGCATAAATATCCATCGCTTTCTCTATATACACATGCACCAAACCTTTGTAAAATTCTCCAATTTTCTAGATCCCAAGGGTACTTCCATCCACTGACCTATAATACACGCAAAAAATTTAACGCTCATTAAAAAACTTCCTCTTTTGTCCATCTCGACTTAATTTACAATAATTGAGGTAGGTATATCCTCTTTTCTTGTTCAAAAGAAACTTTCATGAAATCAAATACTCTTCATCTTTCCAAAAAAAAAAAAAATAATTACAACAAAAATTTGAGAGACCCTCTTCTCATGATGGCAAATTTTTCTAAATGATTTAAAACGGGGGAAATAAATCAAGAAGGAATTTTGATACTATATACCCTTGTGAAAAGGGAAATAAGGAAAATAAGGAAAATGTTTTAGTGCGGGGAAAATTAATCATCTTGTGAAAAATTCAATATCTAAATTTCACCAGGGACATGTCCATTATTCATTGAGAAAATTTCTTATAAATCTTTGGGAATTAACGAGCAACAAAGATGACATCATATCGCGCTCTCTCATTTCTTTTCGTTCCACCCTTTCTTGAGAGTGAGGATCGTTTGCCAAGACTGTGAAATATAGCTCACAAACTTTTCTCGCAAAACTTTTCACGTATAGCAGTCATTCCCCTTTTTTTTCATTTGCAAAATATTGTCTTGCGAATGGAAAAGAAAACCAACTGTTACATACGTCTGATAAAAGAAAAAAAGGGGGACTATTGAACTATACTTAATTTTATGACTATCAAATTAATTTTCTGACTGTTGAGATGAAACGAATTACACTGATTTTTTAAAGGCTTTTGACAAAGTTGATCACTATACTTTTGTGAATCTTTGGTTTCATCTTGGTCCTCTTTTTTTTGGTTTACCTAAATAAAAATTTTTCAAAAATCTAAGTTCTTTAAATTTTCTATAATTAATAAATTGAAATTGAAATTTTCTAAAATTTCAAATTAAAACCATTTAAATTCATTTATTTATGAAAATTGTAAACACAACTCTTTTAAAATTCAACTAAATATAAACTTTTCGATGGTTTAATCAATTCTCCTTCACTGCTAACAATGATTCATTTATCTATTCTAGAAAGACTAATAAAATATTCAATCTTCTGAAATCGAACACAACACTCGTTAATTAATGATTTCAGTAGATGGTCAACGGAATTTCAAATTTTGTAGATTATTAACTTCGCCATTTTTTAATTAAAATAAAAAATGAAAATCAGTTATTTTGCTAATTGAATGCCACGCAACCTGGAAAACCTGGAAATGTCAGGGAATTTTATAAATCTTGGAAAAATCTGAAAAAGTCAGGGAATTTTTATCGTAATCCTGGAAAATTATTGTTTTCTAAAGTTATTGTGCTTATTCTTGAAAACTAATTTTACTTAAATATTTCAAAATTAATTCAATTTTAAAAGAGTAGCGTTTACAATTTTCATAAATAGAAAAACTTCAAAAGGTTTTAATTTGAAATTTTAGAAAATTTCAATTTTCAATTAATTAATTAAATACTAAAAATTTGCCAAGAATTCTATTATTTACAATTTTTTTTATAAATTTCTTCGCAATAATTCAATTATTTTCATGAAGAATAATATTTTTTACCAAAAATTCAATTATTTTCAATTATTTTCATAAATAATAAAAATCATCGCAGAATTTCAATGATTTTTAATACAATTTTAATGGAATTTCTTGAAAAATGTAATTATTCTTAAAAATTTTATTATAATTCATCAAAAAAAAAATTCAATTATTTTAAAAAGCCTTCCTATAATTTATGTATTATTTTCAAAAATTTTAATGAAATTCTTTTTAACAATTCAATTTTTTTTCAAAATAATTTTAATAAAATTCCTCGTGGAATTAAATTAATTTCAATAATTTATCAAAATTCAATTATTTTTAATATCTACGTATGTCAATAAAATTTCATAAAAGAATTCAATTATTTAAAAAGCAATACATAATTAAAATTCGTCTCAAGAATTCAATTATTTTCAAAAAGTAATAAAATTTTTCACAGAAATTCAATTATGGTCAAAAGTTTAAAAAAAATTCTCGTCAAAATTTCAATTATCTTTATAAATAAATAATAAAATTATTCTTCAAAATTCAGTAATTATTTTGAAAAAATTTAATAAAATTCTTGGCAAAATTTCAATTATTTTCAAAAACTTTTCTCAATTCAATCAAATTTTTTTTTTTTACAGAGATTCAATTATTTTTAATGCAATTTTTAATCTAATTTCTCGAAAATGGAAATTATTCTTAAAAATTTTAATAAAATTCGTCAAAAGAATTTTAATTATTTAAAAATTTGTTGATAAATTCAAAAGCAAAAAGTCAGTCACTAATTCGAAAATAGTAAACATTTTTACTAATTCAAATTTAAAGAGAAAGTATTATAGCGTGAATTTTTAGAAATAATTGAATTTTGAAAAGGTTTCAAATTATAATCTTTGAAACTTTGAATTTTTCATACTTTTAACTGAAAATTGTGTAGATTTAATTTTTTTTAAAGTTTCTTGGAACTTTTTTGAAATTAATTCAAATTTTTATTTTCCAACATATATTTAGTTAAAGAATTTCCGAATAATCGATGAAATTTCGTAAAATTGAATTGTAAAGAAAAGGATTAAAATTATTAAAAATAATTAATTTAAAGAATAATTTTAGTTAAAAATTGTAGAAAATTATTGAATTGAAATCAGAATAATTTTGACAAAGTTACAGTAACAATATTCTTATAAAATATAAAATAATGATTTTATCAGTCGGTCATCTTTAATTATTATTATAAAACATGAAGATATCGATTGCTCCGAGTCTTCGACTCGGAGTGATCGATATCTTCATGTTTTATAACAATTTTTTGAAAATTGTTTAATTTCAAAAATGTTTAAATTCGAATGTATTCAAGAATATTAATTCTTATGGATTTAATTTAATTTTGTAAAATATAAATACTTTTAAAAATCTGAAAAAATTCCGTTTTTTAACTTGGAAAAGTCAGGGAATTTGAAATGAGCAAAAGCGTGGCTACCCTGTTGATCCAATTCCAACTGAAAAAAAAGAAAATATAATTATTTTCCCTTCATTAATATTCAGTAAAATTAAATTCATCAGCAAAAAAAAAAATATACGAAATTAGATAAAAATTCTTCAATAAAAAATTTTGTTAAAAAAACGACTGTTTGTCACGTTGTAAGTTGTTATCTATAATTAAGGTTACTTGGAGCACGAGATAATAATTATTTACGAGATATACATCTTTCGAACGTGTTAATTTAATGCTTGTAAAATTGACAAAAAAACCTTGTTGAATTTTAAAAAATTTCTTTCATAAATTCTAAAAATTTTTCTACCTTTTTTTTTATTATTGATTTTTATATAATACTGCACAGCACGTCGATGCCTGAATTCTCTTCAATCGAGAACAATTATTTCGCTTGTTAATTCAATTAAAATTATTATACACATCTTACACTTATATTACACTGGTAATTCGTGTGAATAATTAATAATTAATAATAATAATAATAACAATAATTTAATCTACTACTCAAAATGAGACGGACGAGTACGAAGTGACGAGAAAAAAAAGAGTTAAAAACACTTTTGTTCTCGATAATAATTTGTATACAAAGTCTAAATATAAACAGTTCTGTGCTACTCAATAGTACAAGCAGTTTTGTCGATTCTAATTCATTTGGCTTCTACGGGGGGGAAAAAAGAAGAAGAAGAAGAAGACTATTTTTTTGACCTATTTCGTTATTGGTGAAATTTGGCTGGTAAAATTTGATCGGGTGCAATTTTTTTATTGCATCGTATGTTGCGCGACACCGTGAGGGAGTATTTAGTGACAATTACTCTCCTCGTGTGAACACGATTTCTACGAGTATTTGGCAGTTCTCAATTAATAAGGCTAATTAGGCTGTTCTTCTTTTTTCTTTACTTTGTCTGCGCAGTTACTCTTTTACAAATTTCATCCGTATATTCACTGCATTTCGCAGTGCCACCAAGATCACCGGTCAGATATTTTGCTTCCTTAATTGTCTCGTAGGCGGAAGTCTCAATAATTCTCGCGTGGTCATTCAATCCCATGTGTTTCAACATCATCACGGCGGATAGCAAAAGTGCCGTGGGATTTGCTTTGTCCTGTCCTGCAATATCCGGAGCAGTTCCGTGTACCTGTAAAAATATATTTCTTCGTAAAATATTCCTGTCATATTCTTTTAATAAGGTATTTTTTTTTTGGGAGAAACTACAGATAAAAACAGAGAAGAAGTTATGTAAAAGTGTTTGTATTACCGATTCGAATAGAGCGCCGTTTAAGCCAATATTTCCACTGGGTGTTAAACCGAGACCACCGACGAGACCAGCGCACATGTCGGAGAGAATATCTCCGTAGAGATTGGGCATAACCAGAACGTCGTATTGACCTGGGTCTTGTACCATGTTCAAGCAAACTGTATCCAAATACCTCTCCTCGAATTTAATGTTTGGAAAATTCTTCGCAGCATCTCGGCAGCACCTCAAGAAAAGACCGTCGGACATTCTCATGATATTCGCCTTATGAACAGCTGTGACCTGGAAAAACGAAATTAAATTTCTGATTTCGAAACGTTGGAGTAAAGAATCTTTGTCTGAATGTCTTTGTTTCTTATCATTTTTTTTTTACTTAAAGAAATTTTTCTTTTTCTATTTAAATGATTTTTTTCGAGTATTTTATACTCGGAGAATATTGAAGATTATCACCTTCTTTCGATTGTTTTCCTGAGCGTATTGAAAGGCAAATTCGGCAACCCTACTGGAAGCTTCCTCGGTGATGAGCTTAATTGACTGTACAACTCCATCGACAATCTCGTGTTCAATGCCTGAATATTCACCTTCGGTGTTTTCTCTGATTGTAACAACGTCAACGTTATCGTAAAGTGTTTTGTAACCCTCCAATGATCGACATGGTCGTACGTTTGCATATAAATTGAATTCCCTGGAAAAAAAAGAAAATTCAATTAATCGAATTCATTGACCTTATTGCCTACACAAAGTTATTTATAAAATTATCGTACATCTAATTTTACATTGAAAAGATAAGTTCAATGTTAATAGTACAAGATCAAGGCGATAAAAACTGAGTCATCGTTTCAATTAGAATTATCAATGAAGCATCATTGTACAAATGCAAATTCTCTTACTTTCTTAAAGCGAGATTCAATGATCTGTGTCCTTTTCCAATTGGCGTCATCAATGGTCCTTTGAGACCAATTTTATTTCTATTGACGGAATCAATTGCTGCCTGTGGTATTCCGAATTTACCATCTGTTCCCCTCACTGGTGTCACGTCAACAGTTTCCCAATCAATCGGAACCTGTTGTTGGAAAAACAATTTTTCTTTATTTAAAATTACAATAAAAAATGTCAATTTGTGATAAAAATGTCTAATCAATAACGAATTGTATATCGTTCGTAATTGGATCGATGGCAGATTAAAAATGTCACTGGCACGACTTGGGTCACCTTGCGTGGCACATTTTTATTCTTTAATTATTTATTTCAACGATTTTAACTAATTTATTCGTTTCGATTACGTGAGAACAAAAATAGGTCAACGAGAGCTAACACACAAAAAAAGAAAAGTAATTCGGAAAGAAAACAAAAAGGGTATATTTAAAAATATCCTATACCTTGGCAGCTTCGAAGATCTTCTGAACTGCCGCTGAAATTTCAGGCCCAATACCATCGCCTGGGATAAGTGTGCATTTTTGTACTTTACCGCTATATAGCCTTACACCTCCAATTTTCGGCGAAATCTATTAGAATTAGGAGAAAAAAAAAGAAAACTGAGAATAAGAAATTTTTTTAATAAGCAATGTTGAGTGATAAAATTAACACTAAAAGAAGAAAATTCGAAGAATATAGGGTAAAAAGTCTATTTTTCGTTATTCTCATTTCATTTTTTTTATTTTATACATTTTATATAATTAATATAAATATATAAAAAGGGAATTTTATGTTTCTAACCTTTATTTCATTTAAATTGACCAGGATAGGAGTAGGTTCTCATGTGATCAGCTGGGATTTCCAAAGATTAAAAATTTACTTACAATTTGGCGTATCCATTGGCCTGCCATTCTCTTTATTTTTTAATAAAAAATTATTTTTTTATTAAAAAAATCCACTTTTCCTCTCTCTCTCTCTCTCTCTCCAATTTTTTTTAAAGATAAAATTACACACGTCAGACCCGATTACGCACAGAAGATGAGAAAAGAGCAGAAAATCACTTGATTGGCCGGTTTTTAGAAAATCTTCTGCTCTTTACAAAAGCGGATATAGCGGACGACGCGGAGGAACAAACCGTTGTGCGCAGCTACACAATTTCCGGCGCCAAATTCAAAAGAAAACTTTTAATTTTAATTATTATATATTCATTTGCAAAGTAGAACAATCCAAAAAACAGTTTTTGAATAAAATAACCAACGAGTGTTAATAACCTTAAAAACATAAATAAGAAACAAAAAAAAAAATATTGCAAGTTTTTAAAAAACGGAAGTACTGGCCAACGCTATTTCCTAAGGAGAAAATTCAAAAGAAGTGTTTATAATTCCTATATAAAATACTGCAGCATAGGTATAAAGGCCTAAGCACAATAGGTTCGCGAAAGTCGTTCGCGAACGCAAAGCATGAGTTAGGAAAGGACAGAGATATATTTGTGTCCTTGTCTATCTCATATGCGTTTCGTTCGCGAATGACCTTCGCGAACCTATTGTGCATTGGACTTAAATATTGATTAATAGTGAAACAAGTAAAAATATAAAATTAAATAAAGGGAAAATAATCCATAAAAAAGAAAGAGGAATAATAAATTTTCTAACTTCTTTTGGGAAAAATCAATTTTTCTTTTTTCGAAATTTGACGAACGTAGTTAGAAAATTATGACTTCCGGTGCGGCTACACTTTTCTGATCAATTTAATTATCAAGTCAGTCGGCCATCTTGTTGGACGCGCTTCTCATAGGGAGACCGTGAATATTTTTTTTCTGACTTAGTGCATTTTCATTTGTAAGTTTTAAGTTTTCACTATTAAATTCGACGACAAATTATAAAGAACGGAGCTTAAAGTTTTTATTGAGAAAAATGAAAACCGAGGAGTAAGTTTTACTTCCTAAAAACTTTGTTTTCATAATACACGAAATTAGAATGCTTTCGGCATATTTTTTTTTTTGCCTTCATAAACATTATTTTCATATTCGTTAAATATTATATGAAATAGTGCATTTCATTTTAACCTGATTTTTAAATTAGTTATTATTATTATTATTATTCAGAATTGGTTCCTTTTTTTGCTATGTTACCTTTTTTTCTCTTTGCGGCGAAATGAGCGAGTATCGGTGTGTCTATGTGTGATTCGCAAAAGGTTTCGTCATCAATGTTATCGATTCGTGTTTTATTTTCATTGAAAAAGTGATGATAAATTGTTGGAAATTATAATGAATATATGGAAAAATTTCAATTTGCTTTTCTTTTGGTAATGATTATTTCTAAATAAATTTCTTCTTTTGTTTCTGTAGTGGTTCTCAGATGCAGAATAACGACGAGAGGGACCGTAGTCGGGAACGAGATCGCACCAGGAGATCGGAAAGAAATCGAGTGAATTCGGCGAGTCGTGATCGCAGTCGAGATAGAAATAATGATCGAGGGAGAAAAATTTCCGAAAGACGTATTTACGTTTCAAATATTCCATATGACTATCGTTGGCAGGATTTGAAGGATTTATTCCGAACTGAAGTGGGCAAAGTGGCTCACGTTGAACTATTTACTGATGAAAATGACAAACCTCGAGGCTGTGGAATCGTTGAATTCGAGGACGCCGATTCGGTTAAAGTTGCTGTTGAGAAAATGCATCGTTTTGATATTAAGGGACGCAAACTTGTCGTGAAAGAGGTGAGACCCTTATTTTTTTATCTTTTACTCTCTTAATGGTAATTTTTGGAGAAATTTTAAGTTTCGTGAAAATAATCTAAATTAAAATAGTCATATTTTCTTCTTTTTCCTTTTATAATTCCCTAAAATACCTGAAATTGTGAATATTCTCCTATTTTTACCTTCTTCTAATAGAAAAACTGATAAAAATGGCAGGGTTGGCACGCAACCTGAAAACCTGGAAATGTCAGGGAATTTTATAAACCTTGAAAAAACCTGGAAAAGTCGAGGAATTTGAAATGAGAAAAACCCTGAATGGTCTTTTTTTGTAAATTCACAATTAATTTGAGTTGAAAATAGAATAAATGGAACTAATTTAATTTCTCTTTCAGGATTATGATGTGGAACGCGACAAGTACGGTCGTTTGGCGTCGTCTCGCAATAATGACAGGCCACCACGTGAAGATAGATTTAGAGACCCTCCCAGACAGAATTCAGGTAGACAGAATATGTCGGCGCCGAGTAGTGGAGGCGGTGGTGGCGGTGGCGGCGGTGGAAATGATAGCAAATTTGGTAACACTTATGGTCTTAGCACACAGTTCTTGGAATCGCTCGGCATCAACGGGCCTCTAGTCACCCGAGTATTTGTTGCAAACGTTAGTACATTCTTTCAGTATCAGTGAAATTTTATGTTTCTGAAGTTATTGAATTGAAATGATCGATATCTTCGTGTTAGCGAGTTTGAAAAGTTTGAAATTTGACTAGTCTCTAGGGAAGGAAGTAAAGTTTTCTATTTATTTGTTTTCTTTGCTACAGTTGGACTACAAGGTGGACGAGAAGAAATTACTCGAAGTATTCAAACTCGCGGGAAAGGTGTTACACGTTGAATTGGGAAAAGACAAGGATGGCAAGTCGCGTGGCTTTGGAGTCGTTGAGTACGATCATCCCGTTGAATCAGTTCAGGCGATATCGATGCTGCACAATCAGCAACTGTTCGACCGCCGCATGACAGTGCGCCTGGACCGTGCCAACGAGCCCGACATGCCGCCGAAACTGCCCGACGGCTTGAAGGGAATTGGAATGGGCCTTGGCGCAGGTGGCAACCGTTTGACAGACGTCGCAAGAAATATTCCCAACGTCCAACCAAATAATCCACCAGTAGTGAGTTCAATTTCGGCGCCAGTGCTCGCGACGGGAGCGTTTGGCGGTGGATTGAACAATGTCGTGCCAGCGCAATTGGCATCAGTTTTGTCAAATTCGAACGCAAATGCCTTGCAGGCGAGTTTAGCTGGCGGTCTGGGTGCAAATCTCGCGACTAGTTCACTGTTGAATCAGTCGTTGACCAGTGAATTGGCGTCGAATTTGAGCAATTTCGGTGGCGGTGTTGGCGGATTGTCGAGTTTGCAGGCGTCACTTGCTAATGCGCAGGGAAATAATAGTTTTGCGCCGCGCTTATCGAAAATGGATAATGACAATCCCTTTGGCGGTAACAATGCATTTGGAGGTTCAAATTATGGAGGTGGTCGTGATTTTGATGGATTTAATAGAAACGATGGAGATCGAGTTTCAGGTGGTAGTGGAGTATTCTCGACCAATCAGGGCAGTGGCGGTGGCGGCGGCGGCAGTAATAACAGACAAAACAGCAATGGATCGCGTCCATTGTCTGATACAATTTTGATAGGAAACGTAAGTTGGAATTCATTTTCATAAAAGAATAAATTTCCATTTTTCTCATGCCTTTGAAATAATGATGATTTTTTATTCACTTTTCCAGCTGCCATCAAATGCAACGTGGCAAATGTTACGTGATAAATTCCAAGAGGTCGGAGAAGTGAAATTTGCTGAAATGCGTGGCTCCGATTTGGGTTTAGTGCGTTTTGCCAATGACTGGGACGCCGAGAGAGCAGTCTGTATCCTTTGATCGAAAATATTACGTTTTGAGGAAGAATCTGATATAATTACAAATATTTTAAGGGGTCGATTTGGAAACTATTTTTATAATTATCAGGATTGGTACAGTTCCGAAAAATCAGGAAAATGCTAGAGATTTACTAAAAGTACTGGAAAAAATATAAAAATTCTAAAAACCCTCAATTTTTAAGAAAATTTTGGTTTTTCATCTTTAAAAAAATTTAATTGCATTTACAATTTTGGGAAATAATTGATTTTTAGAAGTCTTAAATTAAAATAATAAGTAATTGAATTCTCAAAAAATAATATAATTTTAACCGAAAAATAATTTTAATGAAAGAAATTATTTTCCTTAATTAATTGTTTTGCTTTCGAATAACAGCAATGATGAATCGTTCACGATTTGATGGAAGAACAATTGACGTCCGTCTCTACTAAATTTCGTCAGGTAATTTTACCTTTTATTTTTAATTCTGGTTCTAAAATTATTCATTTCTTGAAAATGTACATAACTAAATAATTTTAATTTAATTAAAATTTAAACAAAAATTTCGAGTATGAAAATTTAATTCAATTCGATTCAATTTAAAAATATCATTGGTCATAAATAAAAATTCGAAATAAACTTGAATTTTGTCGTATTTTCGAATAATTGAAACATTTAGTAAAATAAAATTGGAAATAATAATTTTAGAACTGTATTTAATTTTTCACGTATTTTTAAGAAAAGTAATTTATTATTATTTTTTAAAAATCGATGTCCCTTAAGTTTCGAACTTTGAAATGAACGCCAATATCTTTATTACTACTTTTAATTTGAATTTTATTTACAATATTTTTATAACTTTAAATTTTATTTACAAAACATTTATAATTAAATTAATTTTTAATTCAATAAATTCTAAATTATTGTGAATTGAATATTTTTCATTTCAATCTAGTAATTTTGAGAAAATATTGGAGCAGGGAAAAATATTTCGTTCATTTGAATGTTGAAAATTTTCGGGAAAATAAAAATTTGCTGAAAAGAGATAACAAATCGAGGGGATGAAAGAGAAACTTGTTTCTTTCGCCCCTCGATTTTGACATCTCTTGTGGCATATTTTACTTTTATTTAAAACTAACAAAAGTTAACGCATAGTTTTGAAAGTAAAAAAATGGACTGCTGAATGCTGATTACGTTTTTAATATTTTCTTGGATATTATAGGAAAATTGTTCGAAGTAGGAAAACATTTTTTTTTATATGTATAAAAGAACCAAAGAATTGGTTTTCGATTCGCATGTTCAATTTTTTCAGGTGAAGAGTGTTAGCGTCTTCATTTTATCTGTGAATTAAAAATTTTTTAAAAATGGAAAAATTATTTTCCAGGAGGATCGTCTCTTTATAAATCGTCTCGGTTGATAAATCACAAACTCATCTTTATAAAGACGAAAATTTCCTATTCTCCACTTTTATCGTTTTCATCGAAATCTTGATGGTCAATTTTTTTCATTATGAAATTCTAGAATTGTGTTAATTGATATTAAATATTGTGGAATTTTAAGCAAAAAATCTTTTCGGCCCTGTGTATTCTCTCTTCAGCGAAAAAAGAGAAAAGGAATCTATTTTTTTTTATTAGCAATTAATTTAAAATAAGAGAAAATCAACAGTATTCACATTCAGAAGTCCATTTGAATATTTAGCCTTGTAAAACTTGTGATTGGTTTAAAAAAAATTAAGGTTTTCGTATTGTGATTTCACAGCACTATTTTATTTTGGCGACAAGAGCTCGATATTTCGGAGATTCTGAATTCGCTTCGTTTTTTTTTAAATTTTAAAGAGCATTATCAACTCTATTGATATTAAAAATCGTTCGCAAAAAAGATGCAAAAAAAAAAGAGAGAAACTTTTTTACTGGAAGAAGATTGATCATTTTTTGTACGTCGAACAATGTGTTTATTTTTCTGCTGATTCTCTGGATTATTCTTTGACTGTTTGTGAGATTTTTTCGGTTCTTGGATGGCAACAATATATTTGGAACAGACGGAAACGAAATATGAAGCTGTATTTAAAAAAAAAAAAGTGGCAAAAAGGAGGAAAAAGGAGAGAAAAAAATTGAGCGAATTTCATCGTAGAAGCCAAAGGTCGTATGCTTTGCACTTTAAATGAACCTTGTTTTCTTCGGAAGAAATATTTCTTCATGCGTGAAATATTTTTTTTGTGTAGAACAGAAAAAAAATCGTTCTATTATTTTAGGGACTGGATTTTTTTTGAATATTTTAATTCATTACTGCTTTTTTGTTAGCTTTCGAAAGGATTTTCGATTCTTTTTCATCAAAATTCTTTCTTTCTTTCTTTCTTTTATTTGTAGTTTGAATTTTAAATTTCGTTTTATTACTAAAGAAACCATTGTAAATTCCAAATTTTTCAAATGTTTTTGAAGAAGTTAAATTCTATTCGTGTTTGGCAAAATAAAAGTTACGTAAATTACATAAAAATTGTTATTTTCCAAAAAAGAATTTAATTTCTCCAAAACAGAAAAAGAAAAAAGAAAATAAACGTTTAGCAATAAAATAATTTTTAATTTATCGTATTTATATATTTTTCTGCATAATGTTTTGATTAGGTTTTCAAGCGATAAATAGAAAATGAGTCCCTGGTCTCTATTAAGAATTTTGCAATTGTCCGTATATTCAACGTTTACGAATTTAGTTTTCAGCGTTGTTAGTTTTAGTATTTTAGTGTATTATTAAAAGGAGGTATATTGTGGTTTGAGAGGTGGAAATGTCTTCAATTCAATGAATTTTATAAGAAAAAAAAAACAAATTTTCGAAAGGCTAAAAAGAAGAAAGAAAAAACGAAAGGTATGAGAATATCTTGCTCGCAAATAGGTTTTGGTGGTTGAATTTTTTTTCCAAAAATAATTCGACGAACAAAAAGTTTTTTTTTGTTATTATCGTATGTTTACCAAAAGTAAAATTAATGTTTAATGTCGCTGTAAAAATATTAATATCAATTAATTAAATTTTAATTGATTGTAAATAAAGTAAATGAAATAGTAATTGAATATTAATGTTAATTACTAATATTTAATTATTATTTTATTTTTTATTAACAAAATATTATAATTTAATAATAATTTTATTTTCCATTAATGAAATATTATCTAACATTTGGTTTTTTCTTGGTTTTCTCGTTTCTCGTTTTGATCGAAACTTTTCTTTTTTTTTTTTGGTAAGCATATTTTTTTCCTCTCGCCACGTAGATCTCAAGGAACATTCTACGCATTATATAACATTCTTGTATACTCATTACTATTGCAAAGATGGTGATTGAATAAATTTCAAATTCAATTTGACTATGAAAACTTTTTTTGGTCGTTGTGTATTTTATTTATTATTATTGTGTGTACTTTTTTCTCTCTTTATCACAGGCATTATTTTTTCCTGGCAATGCAAAAAAAAAGAGATATGTGGTAGACGATTTTTGTTAATTAAAATACTCGTGTCTATTTTTGTCGTCAAACATAATTTTTTGTCTAGAATTTGAAAATTCGATGTTTACTAACCAATGGAATGTATATTTTTTATCCGCAAAATTCTCGCATTGTATTTTCCTTGATAGCAGTTAATATTTATTATTGTGATTTATATCTTGATTAGATTCTACTCATGTTTTTTTTTCGAGAGAGAGAGAGAGATTTTTTATTTGGTTGCCAATCGTCTTTTTCGATAATTATTAATATTTGCGAATTAAAGTCAAGAAATGTTTTTGTGAGAAAAGAAATTTGTTTGGAAATGACCTTTTTTTTGAAAATTTAAACTCAAATCAATTTTTCTAGTTTTCCTGTAAAGAAAATTGTTTAAATTAAAAATGAAAATTAAGATAATTATCGAAATTTCCAAGATTGAGATTGTTGATTTTCAAGAAAAAATTGGAATTTCCTTTTGAAAAAATCGTCTAGCGTTGAAGATTAAAAATGGTAAGTTTAAATTCTTTTTACAATCTTTCTTCTACAGTTGTAATTGAAATTCAGTTGCTACATTCTCATTTTTTCAATATCTTCATTATCGAAACAAGATAATTTTTTTAGTAAAACAGGTTTCAATATTTGTACTAAATTTTCTTTTTTTTAAAAAAAAATGTGGTCTAAGAATTCTTCAGATTCTTTTGATGTTAGTTGATTTATTTTTCAAATCTATTCTCTTCTCTCTATGTGTCAATGAAGATTTGTTAATCCTCGATAATAATTTTTCGTCGGAGAATTTCTCAAAATTTTCTTCTTGTTACAAAAAGAAAAGAAAATAAGAAAATATAAATTTGTAATTTCTTCCTTTCAGATGATAATAAAATAATTAAATAATTTCTACAAATTGGGTAAGCAATTAATTCTCTTGGGGAGAAAGGAGATAAAACGTTTTTACATAAATTTTCCTTTTACAGGCGATTTAGCAACATTGAAAGAAAGACTGTGCACTCTACAAAAAAAGTAAGTAGATAACGAAATATAACAAAATATTGATAATAGTTCAAGAAAAATGGGATAGGTAATTTTATTATTTTTGTCTAATCTAAAAAGCATATTTTTTATCTTGTTTTTTTTTATAAATTTATCAACAATATTTGCCAAAAATGTGTAGGTAGCTCCTCAAAAGAAATCGTAATAGAAAATGAAAATAAAAATTATCAAGGAGTGAATGAATGCAATCAGAAAAGGAAATATTGCTTACGTTCAATTTATCTTTAAAAATAAAAAATTTGTTGCATTAATTTGTTTAGAAAGAAAATTTAAAGAATATCTTAAAATTAGTAAATTATTCATTAATTTTGATATTTCTCCATTAATAATGAATATTATTAGTTTATTATTAATTATACGGGTCGCGGATTTTATTCTTTTTTTAATCATACTTTGAAAAAATTTCAATTAAATTCAATTCTAGTTTTTTTTTAAATTAATTGAAATTTTATAAAAGAAAATTTTTGAAATATTTGAAATTCCCTAAAATTCTATTTAAAAATAATTGTATTTTTTCAAAAATTTCGTTCTTTTTTATTCAGATCTGAAAAATATGAACTAGGTAGGTATTATATAATTAGAAAGGTTTTTTTTTTAAATGAAAATTATTAATATAATTTTTATCGCACTTGTATTTTCACCATCATTACGTTACAAAACAGTGTTTGATTGGACAAAAAAGCAAGGTACTTCCATTTATCTGTAAAGGTCGAAAAATAATTTGCTAAAAATATTTAATTTACATTTTGTTTTTTCACAGAAAGACAGGTTTCACAGAAAAATTACAATTTTTTTTTTCAATCATTTTTAAGTGCTTTCGAACTTGACAGAAAAAAGTAAAGAAAAATGCACCTTACTTAAAAATCAGCGCGTATTTTTTTTTATACAATTAATAATAAGAATAATATAGTAATAATGTTTATATGTATATATCTATCTATATGTCTCTTTTTATCACATTTTGAAATCAAGGTATCAGAGTTACACAAATATTAAGAACGCTTTCCTCCTCTTAATGACTAATTAATTTCGCAGTTATGTTTTTCTTTGTCTTTATATCACGGCAGTGCAAATACTGATCACTGAATTGAATTTTAGTTTTTCACTGATGGCATTATTTGAATAATGAAATTTCAATAATTAAATTATTTGAATAGAGAAATTATTTGAATCGTGAAATTGAATTCAATAATTACATTGTTTGGAAAATGAAATTATTTAATTGAAGTGTATTATTTAATGATAGAAATTATAAAAACGAAATTATTACAAGTCAAGAGGAATATTTCTTTTAGCTTAGTCATAGAATAAAATAAATTGATTGTAAATCGTAGAGGTAGTACGACCTTATATTTGAGCTAAACTTCCGAGACCGTTGATTAAGTATCAGTAAAGTGTAGAATCATGCATAGGCGAGCATTTATTCTCATTAACTATTATGTACCACTTTTTTCTTTTAATTTTACATCATACTGAGTACATTAAAAAAAAAAAAATTCTATGACATTTTTTTTTTTGTTTTAAATATAATATATATATATATAATTATGAGAAAAGACATTTAATAGGTGCGAATAAATTAAAATGATAATGATCTTTTTTCTCTAGGAAAAACTTTTTTCTCCCGTACGGAACGCAAATAAGAGACCAGTCTTTGCGATGAATAGTTTTCGGGGAAAATTTTGTTAACATTTTTGTTAAAATTGATTCTTCCGAAATTGAATTTTGATGACTAATATAATAAATTATTTGACGCTGTTTTCACAATAACAAAAAAAAAAAAAAAAGAACTTAGTCTCATGACGCTACTCATTTTGAGACTAGGTTTTTTCATTTAACAAGGACAGCATCTGTCTACACATTTTTTTAGTGTAGTATATTTCGAAAAAATGTTGCAGATGTCTCGGTACTTTGTTGATTGGTTGTGTTTGCAAAACGACGCGGGCAGCAAGACAGGTCAATGTTGTGTATTTCAGAGGATTCACGGCAGCGAATAGTCTCTTGTCCTTGAGTAGCATTTCGTAGGTTTTATTCTCATTGTTGACGGCGTTGATGTAAGCGCCGCCGTCGAGCAATGTTTTCGCCAGTTCAATGTTCCATGGCTGTGACAGGGCCACGAGATGCAGTGCCGTATTTCCGTCGCAATCCTTCGCCTTCACATCGGCGCCGACTTTGAGTAATGCTCGCGTCAAGTGTGGCGATGGGAATTCGCAGGCGGCATAGCCACCGATTAGTGCCGCGTCTTTGCTGTGCGCCAATTGCAGAACGTCTCGACCCTAGGGATTAGTTAAGTAATTATTGGGTAAATCTAATTTTTTCTTTTTTTTATTCTATTCTTCTGAAAAATGGAGAAAAGAATACCAACTTCTTTGCCTGTAGCGTTGATTTTTACTAGTTCGTAAAGTACACGATGTAGTTCCATGTGCTCAGCACTGTCAGATTTTGGAGTCTCTCGTGTCAATAAACAGGCCAAATGAAGTGCAATCACTAGGACACGATTTAAATTTGTCAAGTCTCGTTCGCAGCGAGGCATTTTGTCCAACATTTGCTTGCCTAATTTTACTTCCAGCACCTGAAGGAAATGAGAAGTAAGAAACTTGATTTTTCCTTGAATCCTCAAAGAAACGAGAAAAAAAAAAATGTAGTAAAATTCTAGATAAATTGACTTGAAAATAATTTTTGAGAAGTTAGAGATTCTCCACCTGAGAACGCCAAGGTCACCATCAGATGGCAGTTGAGTCGTTTCTTGGAATTTCTCTTGCCACCTGGTGGCGACCTCGGCGTTCTCAAGTGAAGAAATGAAAGCACTATTCTTTGAAGCAAAAAGAAATGTTTCGTTTTGATGAAAGAAAAAAGGAGTAGAGGATATTACCGCTTTCTTAAAGACTCGCATTAGTTCCTCGCGTTGAACGGGCGGCACGCGTTGTCCTCTTCTCGTTTGTTTGCCCTCGTCGCCAATGAGAAAGCTGAAGAGTTCCGTGAAACTGAATAGTGAACCTTGCGTCATTGAATTAAGGGGCTCGAGCATACTTTGCTGAATGTCGAGGGCGTAATTCCAAAGTTCAATGCAGCGATTAAATTTGCCCGCGTCTGCATAGAGAGCACCGCGAAATCGGATATAATAACTCGTGTCGGGATGAGCTGGTCCCAGAATTCGCTCCCTGATAATAAGTGCCTGCATTCTCATTTCATCGGGATCGGCGAATAGATCGTCCAATGCTTCTGGATCAGTGATTTCCCGAGCAAAGTCGTAGGCTGCTACACCGGGTAGAACCGCTGGCTTCGGTATCACAGGACCGTCTCCTCTGTATCTAATTTTTAATTTATAGTTGATTAACAATGCGTGGTTCATTAGAAAAAAAGTACAAACCTTTCATCCATGGCTCGTTTCCAGAATTCTAAAGCGCCAATCATATCTCGTTTCTTATCGACATAAGTGGCACCTAAAAGTTCAAGGGCGTCTATTTTTTCTTTTCTGCAAACTAAATGCGGTAACCAAATGAGATATTCAACGATGTGCGTGTGACCTGAAAATTTAAATTATTTTTAAATTCCTAATTTCCAATAATCGGGAAATTATTATTATTATACAAGTTTAAATTGTGACGTGATAAATAATTCACCTGTAATGGCAGCTGTTAGAAGTGGAGTCATTCCAAAGGAATCAACATCCATTCTCGCTCCATGCTCAATAAGTACCTTCATGATCTCCAATGAACCACTTTCGGCGCAGTCGTGCAGTGCCGTGTTACCTTTAACTGACTTTCGGTTGGCATCTGCTTTCAAAGAAAGTAGAAATTTCGTGATTTTCACATGTCCTCTGAAACATGCTATCATTAAAGAGGTATGGCCATGTCGATTCGCTACTTCGATGTCTGCAAAGAGGAGAATTTCAATTAATTTCGATTTTAATCTTCAATTTTTTTTTAAAATTGTGTCCCCCAAAACCCCAAAGAGGATTTTTCCATTCTTGAAATTAGGTGTTAGATATTTCATATATTTACCTGCACCGTGTTTGACTAGGAATTTAACAATTTCGAAATATCCATCAAAGCATGCAGCTCTGAGTGGTGTAGAATTTGTTTTTGTAGTGGTATTAACTTTAGCACCTCTTTTAACTAAAAGCTCGACCACAGCGAGATGTCCGGCTGCTGCAGCACACCACAAAGGTGGAGCTCCTTCAATGGTGTCTCCATCGAAAACCACTATTTCAACAAACAAATAATAACCAAATATAATTATAGTTGAGTCATTTTTTAAAATTTACTTTTGTATTTTAAAAATAATTTATTACAACTTATTAATTGTTGTCGTGTTTAATGTTAAAATATATTAATTTATTTAATTGGAGGCATTTTTTCATCTATTTTCTTAAATTAAATACACTTTATTTGAATAATAATGAAAATGAAAAATATCAATTTCATTTATTGTGTATTTACATTTTTCAAAATTTCACGTTCACTGGTAAATATTAAAATTAATAAGAGATCATTTCTTCGGTTAGACCTTTAAACGAAGTCAATGAACTCTGATCAAAATAAAAGTAGTGTTCGATTAATACTCAAGTCATTCTAAATAATAGAAAATAAAGCAACAGGGTTGCCACGCAACCTGAAAACCTGGAAATGTCAGGGAATTTTATAAACCTTGAAAAAACCTGGAAAAGTCAGGGAATTTTTATCGAAATCGTGGAAAATTATTGTTTTCTAAAGTTATTGTACTTATTCTTGAAATCTAATTTTACTTAAATATTTCAAAATTAATTCAGTTTTAAAAGATGAGTTGCGTTTACAATTTTCATAAATAGGTGAATTTCAAAAGGTTTTAATTTGAAATTTTAGAAAATTTCAATTTTCAATTAATTAATTAAATAAAAATTTCACAGCAAGTCCATTATTTACACATTTTTTTTATAAATTTCTTCGCAATAATTCAATTATTTTCATGAAGAATAATATTTTTTACCAGCAATTCAATTATTTTCAATTATTTTCATAAATAATAAAAATCATCGCAGAATTTCAATTATTTTTAATACAATTTTAATGGAATTTCTCGAAAAATGTAATTATTCTTAAAAATTTTATTATAATTCATAAAAAAAAAATTCAATTATTTTAAAAAGCCTTCCTATAATTTATGTATTATTTTCAAAAATTTTAATGAAATTCTTTTTAACAATTCAATTTTTTTTCAAAATAATTTTAATACAATTCCTCGTGGAATTAAATTAATTTCAATAATTTATCAAAATTCAATTATTTATAATATCTACGTATTTCAATAAAATTTCATAAAAGAATTCAATTATTTAAAAAGCAATACATAATTAAAATTCGTCTCAACAATTCAATTATTTTCAAAAAGTAATAAAATTTTTCACAGAAATTCAATTATGGTCAAAAGTTTAAAAAAAATTCTCGTCAAAATTTCAATTATCTTTATAAATAAATAATAAAATTATTCTTCAAAATTTAATAATTATTTTGAAAAAATTTAATAAAATTCTTGGCAAAATTTCAATTATTTTCAAAAACTTTTCTCAATTCAATCAAATTTTTTTTACAGAGATTCAATTATATTTTTAATGCAATTTTAATCTAATTTCTCGAAAATGGAAAAATTATTCCTAAAAATTTTATTAAAATTGGTCAAAAGAATTTTAATTATTTAAAAATTTGTTGATAAATTCAAAAGCAAAAAGTCAGTCACAAATTCGAAAGTAGTAAACATTTTTACTAATTCAAATTTAAAGAGAAAGTATTATAGCGTGAATTTTTAGAAATAATTGCATTTTGAAAAGGTTTCAAATTATAATCTTTGAAAGTTTGAATTTTTCATACTTTTAACTGAAAATTGTGTAGATTTAATTTTTTTTAAAGTTTAATGCAACTTTTTTGAAATTATTTCAAGTTTTTATTTTCTAATATATATTTAATTGAAGAATTTCCGAATAATCGATGAAATTTCGTAAAATTGAATTGTAAAGAAAAGGATTTGAAAATTTTCAAAGTAAATTTTTCAAAAATTACCTTTTAAAAATAATTAATTTAAAGAAGAATTTTAGTTAAAAATTGTAGAAAATAATTGAATTGAAATGAGAATAATTTTGATGAAGTTACAGTAAGAATATTCTTATAAAATATAAAACAATAATTTTATCAGTCGGTCATCTTTAATTATTATTATAAAACATGAAGATATCGATTGCTCCGAGTCTTCGACTCGAAGTGATCGATATCTTCATGTTTTATAACAATTTTTTGAAAATTGTTTAATTTGAAAAAGGTTTGAATTTGAAATTTTTGAAAATCTTTTCTCTAAATTTAAATCAGTTAAAAATAACTGATTTAGAAGCAAAAAGTCAGTCACTTATTCAAATAGTAATATTTCTACTGACAATTAGTTAAAAATAACTGATTGTCAGTTAAAAATAACTCAAGTTTCAGTAAATTTTTTTTTCACTGATTCAATTACTCAAGTTTAACTATTTTTTCAGTTATTATTTACTGAAAATTAGTTATTTTTTCACTGAAAATCAGTTATTTTTAACTGATTCAGAAGCAAAAAGTCAGTCACTGATTGTCAGTTAAAACCACGATTTTTAACTGATTCAAACTAAGAGAATTAATTCTTATGGAAAAATAATAATGATTTAATATTTATTGAAAAAAGAAGCAATGGAACATTTTTCTGAGTAATAATTTTGAAACTGATTGAGAATATTCTTTAGAGTCAAGAAGTAAGAATTTTGTCTGGAATTTAATTTTGTCAGGGAAAAAAAAAATTAAATGTTTTTGTTGGCAACAAATGTAGTTTTAAAAACCTGGAAAAATTCCGTTTTTAACTAGGAAAACCTGGAAAAGTCAGGAGCAAAAGCGTGGCAACCCTGAGAAAAAAATCTCTTTTAAAAATATCAAGTAAAATTTACTTTATAATTATTATAAAAGTATTTATTAATTATATATTTTATTATATTATATTATATAGAAATATCTTATTCTTCCAATAATTTTAGTTTTTCATTTTTAAATTAAAGTTTTCTACGTTTCTTTTTTTTTATTTAATTTTACTTAAATTTTATTTAAAGATTAGTCAGTTTGCCTCGAGCCTATTAAATTGATTGTTTGAAATAAAATTTATTTGTGAATGAAATAAAATGTTTAGTAGGCTCTGATTAAAATACAGTGATCTTTTTTCTGGTTGTATATTCATATAAAATATGTGTAATGTATATATTCTTCTCGCATTCATAAAGCAAATAAAAAATAATTATAGTGTTATGACTGTATGTATATTTAATATTTATGTGACTATTTGTTCATAAAATGAGGAATGCAATTATTTGAAAGTTGGGGAATTTTGAAAAAAAGAAAAAAAAATCCTAATACCGCAATGAAATTAAAAACAATGTTGTGTTTGACATCTTTTTAGCCTCATTTTTTCGAATACATTCGAAAACAATCGTTTCTCTAATGATGACGTTTTTATGCGTTTAGTCTTAAATAAGCAGTCTATTAAATGTGTGCTACATCTGAAACGATGAAATGCATATTTTACTTTGGAATTTAAAATGAAGAAATTTACACTTTGCAATATAAATCTCAAACCTAAATTCATTGGTATAATTTCAATTTTTCTTGACGCATTATATTTTATAATGAGAATGAAAATTGCCTCATAATTTTTCAAACTAATAATTTTCGAGAAATTCAAATTGCAAAAATAAACGAAAAAGAAAAATTATGAATAAATGATGAGGAAAAATATTTAATGTTTAGAAATAGTGGAGGAATTCTTAGAAATAGAATTATATATTATAGGTTCTACTGTACTGAAATTCCCAGAAACACTATAATGCAGGTTTCACTGTTCGAAATAATTTAAAAGACGATTTTTCAAGTTGTTGAAAAAAATATTTACCCGATCCTGTTTGTTCAACATCGGCACCACATTTTTCAATGAGATATTCAACCACATCGTAGTGTCCATTCCTGCAGGCCATCACTAACGGAGTGGCTCCATGTGTTGTTGCTCCCACCAATTTTCCTACGACATCTTTTGATTGATGGCCCAAAAACGTCTAGAAACAAAAAAATTCATTTCATTATTAATAACAATTCGTATAACGTTTAAAATAATTGACAGATTGTTTTTTCTTGAAAATATCTAAATTCTTCAAGAATATTCTATGAATGAAATCTTAATTTTTCAAATGTTAATTGATTATCTTTTTTAAATAGTCTGCATATTTCTTTGGATGAATGTCCTTAAATTAAAGAAAATAAAAATAATGATTCTTTAGAACAACACTTACACTAGATAATGTGGAACCCGTCTTGAAATTTTGAGCGAAAAATCGCAAGAAAAAAAGTGGTCTAATTTAACTGGACTTTTAGTGCAATTTACAAATGTTCTATATATTCACAAACTGAACTTGGAAAAAAAATGGAGACCATTAGATAAACGTCACGTCACTGACAATAATGATGAATTCTCGTCAAAGTGGGTATGATAAATATTTAAAAATCTGTCCTGTGACACTTTCTATCCTACGTCTTCGTTAAAAGTCTAAAGTTCATGAAATATTTAACTATGTGTACCAAACATAATGAGCATTTAACTCAAGGAGAGTTGGAAAATGGCCTTTTTTTATTTTAATTTTCCAACTTCCTCTTATTGTTTTCTTATACTGGATTTCAAAAGCTTATAAAGATATATCTTTATATTTTCGTGAATATAAATTTGTTTTCTCTCTCTTCAATTTTTGCAATTAAACCATTTGCATTATTAATAATATCGTTTTCCAGAGATCACCGGAACTGTATAGAGTTCAATAAACTAGATTCATTTTATTATTCAATTTTATGAAATATAAGTTGCAATTTATTTGCATTTTTTATGCTGTGTTTTCGAACACAGAAAAAATATATATTTGACTCTCAGCATACTGAACTATTTATTTGTTTTAAATAAATTTCATTTAATTCAAGTATATTTTATTTAAATCAAACTGAATTTTATCTAATGTAAATGAAAATTTTATTTGATTCAAACAAATTTTATATTTTATTTAAATGAAAACTTTATTTGATTCAAAGAAAATTTTTATTTGATTCAGGTAAATTTTACTTGATTTAACAAAATTTCATTAGGTTCAGACTGAATTTTATATTTGATTTAAATAGAAATTTTATTTGAGCCAATGAAAATTTTTATTTAATTCAAATAAAAGTATATTTGTCTCAGAGCCTAGTAAATTATTTATTTGTTTTAAATATATACAAATTTTAATTATCACAAATCAAATTTTTGATTATTTTAAATTATTTTAAATAATAATTACTTAGTAAAAAGTTCTTTAACGTCCGAGATATAAATTGAATAAAATAAGTCAATAAAACGAAAACATTCGGACAACGAATTATTTACAATTATTATTTACAACTATTACAAGTAGTTTTATGTAGGTACATTTATATTTTTACCATTCACATCATATGAGAAGGTATTATTTTGTTTAAATATTTAATTTTTATTTATATACTCAAAATTAATCAACTTTTTTAGTTTTACATGTGAATTTTATGTTTAAAAAATACGATATTTATTATTTTAACAAATTTGTTTTTTTTTTTTTTTTTGCTCGATTTAATATTAAATTGACGTATATAAAAACACGAGTTCCAATTGCAACACAATAATAACAATTTTTACACTTCACTTTCACGAATTCCTATTCACTTTTGACAATACAATTGCGAGTCTAAATGCCTTCAATTACTCTATATAGATTAAAAACTGTTTTTTTTAAAACTTTAATTTTATAATTATAATAATTATTATTAATTTTGTTTTTAAACTCAATTTATGTATTTTAATTTTTTAAAAATAATTTTTCAAATTGTTTTTTGTTTTTATTTATTAATTTTTTGTTTACTGTATTTAGTATTAATATTGTTTTATTAATTATTATCTTACTAATAATAGTAATAATTATTTTTTTAATATAGGTAATAATAACCTTTTTTAAGTTACATTTTTATTTTTCTATTAATTGTGATTTTATTATCCCTTTCTTGAATTATTTTTTTTTATCCTTTTTTATTAATTATAATTTTATTATTCTTTTCTTAATTATTTTTTCTTCATTAATTATTTATTGTATAAATTTTATTTTTTATAACTATTTCTTCACAAATCATTACAATTAATTATAATTGTAATGTTCTAATTATAAATTATTTTAAAAATTATTTAAAAGAATTATTAAAATTATAATTATTAATTTTTTTTTTTCGTAAAAAAAGAGAGAGAATAAATTTAGATAATTTTTTCCAAAATGTAAATTTTTGGTTTTTAAAGTTTAGAGTTAAAAAAAAATTGTTTCTAATTGAAAACAATTATGATCTAATCTATAAAGAGCACCAACTTTCGTCTCGAGGAAGACACTTCCCGGTGATACGCGTTGTCGTGGACTGACCAATGGAAACTCGATTTGACGGTCTCATCCAGGTGAAATTCTTTCGCCATTACCTCCACCTCCTCATCTTTTTTTTTCTTTCCCCTCTTCTTCATTTTGTAGGTCCCGTTAACGAATAATTGTCAAGGGTCCAAGAATAACATATCTATATATATATATTTTTTTTTTCATTTTCACCTCAGGTCATTTTTGTTTTACATTTCTTTTTTTCGGTTTGATCTCCTTTATTTTTAATCATCCTGAGGCTTTCTCCCTTTCTCCCATTTCAGCTGATCGCCTTTTTTTCACTGACCGAATTTTTTTTCACTTTAAAAGCCAATCTTATATGTTTTGGGGATTCACTTTAGGAAAAGGAGGTCAAGAGATGGTACAGCATGTTCTCTTAAATTTATTCATATATAATATACAATTTTATTTTAATATACAATTTCGATATCGAAAAACATTTTTGCCAGAGAGGAATTAGAAAACTTTATTTTTTTTCAAGTGAATTTCGTTTAATGCCAATTTTGTTGTATTTGAGAAGTTTCGAGGAATTTAAAGAGAGCACATCGCATCACTCGCACTTTTTAAAAATTCATCTACATAATTGGAGATTTATAAATAGCCGACTACTTTCGTTTCTTTTTTTTTTTTTTTAATTTCTCCAATTAACGCGCGATTCAATCGAAAACGAAACTTTAGTCTAAATTTCCAGTCAATAAAATTTACTTGAATTACAATGATTAAAATTTATTTTTGAAACAAACTCTTTTTTAGTTTGTGAAATAATTATTAAGGCTATAAAAATATTTCCCATTCTAAACGTTTAATAATATGAATATTTTTGCATAATTAATTAGTCTTTTTAATTTTCATCCCGTAGGGAAATATATTAATTCAGTCTTATCATTCACAGAAAATATTATTTGAAGATTGCCAATAATAACGTAATAATTTTATTCTGACAGATCTTTAATTTAGAAGATTAGAAACTAGAATAGGATAATTAGAGAAATATTGTAGTGATACTTGGGATAAAATTGGCGCAAACATAATTTAAGTTCCGTTTACGTGCAATTGAAGATTGAATTTGCATAATATTTCTTTATCTCCCCCTTTAGATATTAACCTGAAAAGATGCACTTAGATTATAATAATAGTTTTACCATTTAATTTTATGTTCAGAATTTATAATTTTTGCTTTTTTATTATTATAGTAGTAAAATGCTAAATGTGGAGTTTATTACTAATTATTGTATTTCTAATTTTACAGATTTGTTCAATATTCGAGTGCATTAGACAAACTTGGTATTTGCCTTGTCCTCTGGTGGAGAGATTTTTTTTTACTAAACTCGATTCAAACAAGAATGGAATTCAAGAATTTTTCTTCTTCTTCTTCTTCAATTGCTACTAAACAAAATTAAGTAGCGGAGGTGTGGCCATTGAATTCAAGAATTCAATATCGAAGGATATTAGACAAACTTGGCGTTTGGCTTTTTACTAAACTGCATCGAAGAATTTAGAAACTAGAGGTAAATGGGCAAAGTTGAGGTGTACCATGTCCTGGTGGTAGAACTTTCTGCTAAAAGGCACATCCAAACAGCAAGGATGGAATCAAAAATTCTCTACAAATTAAAAATTTATTCTAAACGTTTATTTTTGGCAGCAGCAGATTATGGATTGTGAAGAGTCAACGGAATTTGGGAAATGATTCTGGAAATTCTTCAGTACCTTGAAACTGGTATTCCAAGCATGTGGATCGTGTGTTAAATAAAAAAAAATCAGGATTTATCTGCGGAAGATCGAAGAGGAAGTCGCAAAGATGATTAAGATCTACTAAGAAATTAGTGCTCTAATAAAAGTCTTCCATCGGAAAGACAAAGCCTTCAGAGACTGCAACTAGAAACAGTTCTCTGCTTTGCAAAAGTCAAGTGAACCAAGCGGAAGAGTAGAAAAGAGCGCAAACATCAGCGTTATTTAAGGATCCCTTCAAAAGACCGATCAGACCAACGCAACATACGAAGTTTCCAGAGGCTACAAGGAAAAACTATTGAGGCGATGGCTGCTTTACCGTGAGTATATAAACACAATTTTTCTTTCAAGGGTAGGAATTGCCTCATAGGTCAAACTCCATTTATTCCAAGTCTTAGTCTTGTCGTCCTTGGACCAAAAGGTCCAAATACTTTCGTACAATCCAGGGTTGTATGAAAAAGATTTGACAACAAAATTTGCCAACTCTTCCGAAAGGGGATGATTTTGCGATCAGACGTCGCTAGTAGATCAACGAATATGGACCAAATGCAACTTAAAAAAATGTGTTGCCACAAAGAGGGGGACTAAAGGGTTTTTAAGGTAAATTTCTGAGCTATGAATTAAAAATTAATTTCTTCTTCATGGTCTATTGAACTATGAGCACAAAATAGGCAGACGAGTGTCACCTATATTATTGTGTGAGGCATGTACCGAAAGTGCGGCTTATTATCTAAATGCCAGGATTTTAGGATGTTAATTAGGATCAGACTCTTTAGTTGGGACCAAGAATTAATTGCAAAAAAAAGGTGGAGCAAAAATATTTAATTTATTATCTATTTTATGGCAAAAATAGAAATACATTAAAG